CTACACATTCTCCCCAGGGATGAACTAAGTTGATCACAACTCAAATTTTCATAAATTGTAGTATCACATGAATAATTTTCTAACTATTACATAAATCTAATAACATTTCAAGCTTAATCTAATGAATGGACAAATTATATAAATCTTTAAAATTAACAAAGCAACATCCTTGTGCTTGGTGTAGATTTAATCAAGAACTTAATCAATTTTGAAGGCACACAGGCACAGCTTCCACTTCATTAGAAGCAAAGAAATATGCATCTAATTTTGTGTTTGACTTTACCATGTTTCTCTTCTGTTTTGATATAAATCTTTGTATAATTTCAATTAAATTTTGCAAAATAATATTGTAAGCATAAAGTACTACATTATACTTAAAATAATGCTAAATAATAACATTAAAATATTCAATAGCAAATGTAGATTACAAATTAAGTGTTAATAACAAATTCAAATAAAGACTGTAAAATAATCAGAGTCCTTAAAAGACAATCATAAAGCACTTTAGTCTTGTATTTCAAATAGGTACAGGAGTTGGACTGGTCTCTGAGTTGTTCATCTTTAGTTTTAATACCATAAGATCTTACTTGTCCACCATAGCCAGGGGAAGCTTCAATGATCTTACCTATTTTTCAAATGTTTCGTGGAAATGTTAATTGCCATTCAACACCATATGATTAATTTTGAAATTCTGGGCTTCTTTTGAGTTCTTTACTGTGTGTGCTGATCACAGGCTCATAAAATATTCATTTTTCTTTCTCTTCCAGAATACATAAGTTTTCTCTGTAAATAAAATGTTTCAATAAAATAGCCTTGTTTGGAAAGCCTGAATTGCTCAGTTTTATGTAAAGCAAACTCAACATTATTTTGGCAAGTAATAAATGTGCAGGTGTTAACAGAAATGGTCCTTCTGGCTTTTGAATAAGTATACATTATTTTGGCAAGTAATAAATGTGCAGGTGTTAACAGAAACGGTCCTTCTGGCTTTTGAATAGGTATACATTAAAGGTATTGAATTTATACTCCCTCAATTTCGATCAGAAATGTCTCAAATTCTCCACACTATAATTGCTTTCCTCAAACTTGCTTTTACTGATCTGACCTTTCTTTCACACAATCCAGTCTACCATGCTCCTCTTTCAGGGATGTATTTTCATTTCCTGTTGTGGGATGAAAATTATTCCTTTATATCAGGGTGATTAATTCTTCTTCATATTTGATATAAGTCACTTCTGCTCATTTTAGCATTGTCCATGTAGATGACAGAACACAAAACAGGTAAAGAAAGTATATAAAATTTATTGCCATTGCTTACTTCTTAAAAAGAGCAGACCAGGAAGGTCTATCCCTGCCGCAAAAGGTGGTGATTCTGCAATTCTGTCAACTGGCATTTGTGCTGTAACTTGCACATCTGGATGAGCATTATAACATTTACACATTATGTATCCTTTAGAACAGACTTTATACACTGTCATCCTCTTATAATCCAAAATCTTTCTCAAGTTTGGACTAGCATATCAGAAATTCCTGTATGATATACCTTCTTGCGAGCATCCTTAATTATAAGTTCAATAAATTTGTGTTTTGTAGGCAATCACATTGGATATTTTTCATAAAACTTCATCTATAATTCTAGCAATTTCCTGCCAACTACAATAATTTCTTTCTCGTCTAAAGTTGAGTTCAAATTTTGAATCTTTGATTTCTTCAGAAATAAGTTTCTGCACCACAAATTTTCCCTGCACTTAATTCAGCTTGAAGTCTGTCCTCCTTACTTTTACTTCTTGCATTAAATATGAATATCTTAGCAAAGGCTGTTATCCTGTACAGCTTTGAAATTGAACTATATTTGTTCAAATCTAGAAAGTTAATCTAATTTTCCTTATTTTTTCCAAATGTCACATTCACTTTGATGTCGGTTCCTCCATAGCCAGAATATCAACTGAAAGGCTATTTTTTTATCAGCCAATTGAGCCTTCTAGCTTTTATTATTGTTTATCAAATCTGCTGCTCCACCTGATATTACATTAAAATCCTGATATCACATCAGCTGGATTGTCTTGACTGATGCAGTGCCTCCAAGGATCAGATATTTCTTGAATTTCACTAACTCTATTCCTGACAAAAGGCTTCCCCTGCTTCGCATTTCGGTGGATGAAGCAGAAAACTATTGCGGAATCAGTCCACAAGAAGTAATTGCGTGTTACAAATGGGTTTTAGGAAGCTGAGTATTCTTGTTGCCATCAATTCTAACCATGGCAAAGATAAGTTGTTCACTGGTGCAACCCTTGATTTAGATGTGGCAAAGTAAATTTTAAAAATTTCAGATCATGTTTTGTAACTGACATATGCAAAAGCTCTGAATGCTAATTTAATAGCATCAGCAAAAATATGCAACTGGAATTCCATGATATCTGTTTTGAAATAAAATCTAGATATTGATAAAGTATCCAATTTAGAAACATCCTTACACAAGTTCTCAAATTTAACTTACAAATTATCATTTAACTCTTCATCTCATCCTACACTTATCTCCCATAATTCTTGAACAGAATCTTCCCTCTACTTACAAATGTCATAGTTAATCCCACAGGGTCATAAATTTTACATGCTAACTGCAAAACGCCTCTTTTTATGTTCTGTCTATCCCCAACAATGGCAAACTAGGAGTATTGTCAAAACTAAATTCATCTGTTTCTAGTGTTCCAAATAATACCCATAAATCCTACATCATTCCAAATTTTTCAAAAGTTCCTTTGAATTACTTTGCCATTTTCTCAGATTCACAGCTGCCTTTGATGAGACAAATTCTGTGTCTGCAGACCAATTTCAAGCTTCAGATACAGAATGTGCTTCTGCCAACAGATCGCATACATACATTCATTCAACATTTTATGTTTCTTTATTCCTTGTACTGGGTTCTAATGAAAGTTTTCTGTCATCGCAAATATCGCCTGCGCAAACAGTTTGTGTTACCATGTTTAAACATATTTTGTCAAATTTTTGGCATTTCAATTAGACTTGCTTTAGAATGCTGTGTTGTGAAAATTGTAAAAAAATATTGTTGTCATTAAGTACAAGGCATCTGAAATGAAACTATTATGTTACCAGATTAGAGCTATCATTTAATTCCAGTTATGTTCCAAAAAGTCAGCTACAGAATGTCACCAAATCATGTATAGAGCTTTAGGTACTAATGTTGTATTATGACACTGTGGAGGTTTGGTATGGAAAGTTCAAGCACAAGAATTATGACATTCAAGAAGCAAAGCACCCTGGCTGGTCTGCTGATGTTGATGAGGCCCGCATGCGAGAATATGTGCAAGATCAGTATGCAACCACTTGAGACCTTGCTAAGGTGTTAGACATTAATGCTATGTCCATGAGTTGCATTATGCATCGCATAAACTTGACATACAACAAGTTCTATTTTCTTCTTAGGGCCATTACACTTGTCATTGGATTCTTATTTCTCCTAATAATTTCACGATAAAGGATTGCATTGAAGCATTACATACAAGTAATCATTATGAAGCATATATACAAGCAACCCCTGATGACATTTTGACAAAGCACTCAATGGTTGTTGGTGCCACAACACAATGGTCAGGATCGCATGTCTTCATGATTTTTCCGATAATATAGTTTCAACAGACAGAAAAACAATGACAAATAGTTGATCTACTCTACATGTATTCATTTGTAGATGCATGAAACATCATACTCATAATTCCAAAGTGAAATATAATACAATTTCAAAATGATTATTGATATGCAAAATAATAATTTGTTTTGCTGGCTTTGCATTCCCTTTGAGATAAAATTTTGATAACTAGTTATTAATTTTTATGACATCCATCAAACTAAAAAATAAAATAACTACGGCAAGATCATTTCGACTTCCCCTTTTTGTATAATTTTTGTAAACTGATCAGAGTATTTTAACCATTATTATCCTCATAAGTATTCATAACCAGAATATAATAAACATTGTGATGGTCTCTTCTGAATGTGACTGCCATATCTGTGAACATAAAAAAAAAAAACACTAAACTGAATTCCATCTCTCTAGGGTAACTAGAACCACTGTCTCTGTGAGGGTAACTAGAACCACTGTCTCTGTGAGGTTATCTTAGAAAGCTTATACATTTTCTTCATACATAGCCCCCTTCATTAAAAGTCATGGCTCATCATTGTCTTAGGCTTTTCAAGTTTTAAGCCTCATTTTTAGGTAATGCACACAACTAATTTTTGGTAGCCACTAAACACCATCTTCTTTTCATGTTACACAAAAAGTGCTCACCAGCAACAAAACAGTAAAGGTGCTGAACACACTCCGGGGTTCGAATCCTGGTGAAGAAGCTGGCTGAATGCATTGCCCTTACAAAAATCATTCATGAACATCCCTCCCTTTATGCAGACAACCCTTTAAATACTTTGCCATAATCAAATAAACCAAACATTCATGAAATACCTTCAGAATATGTAGCGCAGGATTCACAGAAAAAATTTCTACCAATGGCTTTAACTATTGCAGAAGAATCACATCCCTATAGCTTGTACAGGTTTATTATCTCTTTACTGAAAAACGTTGAAAGGACTAATTTCATTAATTTAAAAATGCTAAAAAATTAATATCCAGAATATATTACAAAAGCAGATTTTAATATAAAGAAAGCAGTTAAATCGCCCAAAATGTTTATGTTGATTTACTAAAAGCTTAAAAAGAAAATTGCTAATATAAAATATCAGCTGTGTGTTTTTAAAACATGAATGAGATATTCTTACACACAACATTTGCACATATTTCTCAAAAGCTTAGTGCAACACAAAGGAAAATCCTACTCTTTTATTGTAGCAAATGTAACAGAACTGACATTATATATAGAAAATACTTTTTTATATTGTTTTTCTACTGAAGATATTTACACATTTTCTTCAGAAATGAATATGTAACAGGTGAAAAATAAAATCTATGTTAAGTAATTTACAAAACTTACATCGAAATACTGAATGAAAGCTTCAATTTTTCCATCAATGTAGCATGGTGACTTGTCAGACTGAACAAGAATCCTTATCCCTTGTGCTCCATTTGTACGTCTAACACCACTATACACAATATAACCTGGAAAAGAAAATTGGGATAAATTTAGAGTAATTACACATGATTTGGTAGATGAAAGAAAATGGAATGAATAATCACCCAGTTGCTCTTGAGTACGAAGGAAGTTGAAACAAGGTTCAGCTACCAGTGAACACAGTAATTCTAATAACATATTTGCTCTTGGTTCTTGAACACCACATTGATAGTATGTTTCTACAGAAGAGCAACTGTGCACTTCATTTGTGACTTCATAAACATAATGGCACCCTATAGTTAAAAAACAATTATTTTTTCAATAATTTCTTTCAATGTTAAAAGCAGTCACTACTGCAAACATGTTAATTATATAACTGCTTATTTTTCACAATGATGTACATTACTTCACAGAAAAAATCAGGGTGCATAAATTACACAAAACATCAGCTGCAGGAAAAAAAAAAAAAAATATTGGTCACACATTTGAAGTAATAATTACATAATAAATCATCACCACCAACATGCTGGTTTCTAAATTACAGTCTCTCAACATAACATTTTCAGACCATACAGTAACTCTGACAATTTGACAAAATCTGCTTAAAAGGCTTTGTTCAGATAAGATGCGCATTTATACCTCAGGGCAAGATATTTCTAGGTGTAACTACGGCTTTTTCTGATAAAAGTACAATATCCATTTGATATTTCTTACTGACTTATAACAAACTATATTGTTTTAATAATTTATAACCTTGCAAGCAACTATAACCCTCTGAATTATTCTGCTAATAATGAATGTTAAAAGTAGTGAAATTAATTTATTCCTTTATTTAAAATGACTCAACTAAGACTCGACAATTTAAACAGAAACTTAATATTTTATTTAATACTAGCCACAACACGGCCAGCCTTCGTTTGTTTTTTAAATGTACCAGAAAAATGCTTTAAAGGAACACCAAACATTAAGTTTACAAACTGCACAGAATTTTACTCTGCAGAACAAATACATCCCCCCCCAAAGAAATACAATAAAAATGTATTACAGACAAAAAATTACTATGAAATAAGCAATATCCTTTAATGCAAATACTAATTATCCTAATAAATGAATTTACCAACTTCTCATTGCCTTCTGTTGACAAACATCCAGTATCCAAGAGAAACATTAAATTTAAAAACTGCACAGAATTATCGCTTTTGAGTAGCAATGGTGCTTATATCAGCAACAAAGGCTAATATTGATTTAATGCAATTTCATCAAAAAACATAAAATGAAACAAATCATATTTGAATTTTGAAAAAAATTGCTTCGAGGTGCACTGGCTCTTGTCTAGATGCACGTATGTACCAAATTTCGTACCCCTGAGTCTATAACCTTACAGCTGACTGCTCAGGGTTCATGTGCAAGGGAAGTTATAGAGATTTCCTGGCTACAGATGCTAATTATCCAAGGTTCATAGAATGTTTGAAGACTCGTTTTGGTTGAAACAACTTTCAGGTGGAAGTTTATGTGAGAGAATTGTTAAAATTGGTTTTGAGATATGGAAATTATAATTTGAAATGACAAATGAGGTTCCAGAAAACGTCGGCATCACAGATAAAAGTGCTGCACTTTTTTTTCTTTAAGTGAATCTTATTTAGCTGACGAATTTTAACAGCCCATCAAAGAAATGCAAATGCTGACCATGAACCAGAGTCCAAGCTTAGACTGGACAGTTTATTAAAATATTTTTGAAATCAGAAGTAGAATCTGAAGAGCACATATATTTAGCTATGGCCACTTTTAGTTTGAAGAAAGAAATGTCCTGTGAAAATAAATCTATTAAAACAGTTCACAAATGACCATCAACGGCAGCAAGTATTATTACTTTGTTGAGAGCTGATTTTCCTGCTAAGAAATGTGTTTTTTTGCAGTGGAAAATCGTTTGTTTAAATGTTGAAAAAATTCCATTTTTAGAAAGGCAAAACCTTTTTAAAGATAAAGGGCACAGCTTTCATTGTTTAAAGGCTGGTCACTGTGCAGTTAAATGTAGGGGTTCTATTAAATGAGTAATATGCCATAAGAATCAGAGTGTAATTTTGTGTTTAGAATTATCTAAAAATAGAACTAATGTAAAGAAGCCTCTGTTAAATAGTAATGAAAAATAAACTAGCAGGAAATAAAGTTTTGTCGATCTTCCTAGTGTTAGCAACTTACCACAAGCACTTTTGCAGACCTTGAAAGTAAAATTAGTTTGAAATTTGTACACCTCGTGTTCCAGCTTATATGACACAGCTTTGTAAAAACTGTACTTAAGGAAGGACTTTAATTAATTTATTATTTTAATGAATTTCTGCTCTAGGCCTGAAACCTTCTAGACTACAAATCTTGAACCATGCCCTTTTTGAAGGAAAACAAATACCTGAAAATTTACATAATGTCTACAAAATTAAGTTAAAGGGCCTAGATACCTTTGATATGTATGAGCAAGATACAATTTGTGATGCTCTACCTTCTGCCTTAAAAGGCCCATGGGTTAAAGAGCCATGAATATACCAGATTGGGACATTGAAGGTTCATCAGGGACTATCAATCTTTTAATTGGTGCAGATGTAGTCAACATTTCATCTGGAGAACAAGAGTACCTTCTAATGGTATTGTAGCCATAGAAACTTACCTGGGCTGGACACTGATTGGAGAAACATAGCTGAATGCTTGACGACAACTGTGACCATGTTTGTCAAAGATACCATTATTTCTGACCTTTTTCCTTTAGACATCTTAGGAATATCTGATCCAGTTAAGATAAAATCACAAAAAGAAAAAGAATTTCTTACAAAGAAATATTTTTAAGAGACTCTTAAGAATTATGGATGATAGGAGGCAAAGTTGCCTTACCATAGAAATGTGATCATTTGCTCTCCCCACCAACAAAGATATAGGGATAAGACTTCAAGCCTCAATTAAAAAGGTAAATTCAGAAAAACTGACACATGATGACCTCTTTAAATAATGGATTGAATTGGGAATAACAGATCATATCACAGATGAACATGCTTCATACCAGTACTTTCTTCCTCACAGACAAGTAGTCAAAGAACATGGTACTACCACACTATGCCCTGTGTTTGATGCATCTGCCAGGCAAATTGGATCTACATCTTAGAACCAGTGTCTAGAATCCTGTCTCAATTTATTAGAACTTATTCAAAGTCTCCACAGATTTAGAGAATCTAAGTATGATGTTACTGCAGATAGTGTAAAGGTCTTTTTGCAAGTGAGCTTTCGGTTAGAGGAGCAGACTTATTTGAAATTCTTCTAATGGAAGGATAGGAACTGTAAAGAAATTAAGTTAATACAATGCAACAGATTGATCTTTGGTGTAAAGAGCAGCCTTTTTCTTTGGGGAGCAGTCCCAGATTATCACATAGGAAGGTATGAGAATGATACCCGACATTATCAAGATTATGTTAAGGTTATTCTTTTGAGTTACTACATTGATAATTTAGCAACGAGCTTAAATGATACATGTAATATATTACCCTTCATTGAGAGTCAATTCTGAATGAAGGAAAATTCAGTTTTGAGAGGTGGCAGTACAAACGACAATGATCTTCAACCATTTACTTCTGTATTAGGACTTTTAAGGATATATTCATGAGAATTCTAGACTGGGTAGATAGCTATAAATTCTAAACTTTGCCTAAAAGAATACCACTTATAAGGTATTCAGCCCTGCTGGTTTATTATATCCTGTTTTCCTGATACCCAAATTGTTGTTGCAAAGGGTGTAGAAAAGAAACATACGTTGCGAATCTTGAAGTTGACTCTAATACAAAAAAAGGAATTTATGAGTTGGTTTTCAGAACTTCATTTGCTAAAGGAAGTGACTGTATTATGGTGTTTTTCTATTAATCCAAGCAGACAAAACAATTCTCTGCATATGTTTTGTAATGACAGTCATTACAAACCTGGCTTTTGTGAAACCAATAATTATCCCTTGACAGGAGCTGATGGCTGCCATGGTGGAAACTTGATTGCACACATATGTTGTAGAAGGGCTTCTATGGTATGACATTGAACAACATTGCTGGACCAATTCCAAGGCTGTTTTAAGGCGGATTCAGCATAAAGAATCTTGGATGGTATTGTAAGGATTATATAAAATTTTTAATAGTTATTTTTAATTTTGAAACCCTTTCCTTGAAATTCCTGTTTTCCACTTACAACTCCCTGCCAGAGAGTTTTCAATTATTGAGTTTTATGTAAATAAGGTAAAAACAATATTTAATGGAAAGTTCAGTTATTTCTGGAAAAGAGCTTAGAAGTTCTAATGGAAAGTTCAGTTATTTCTGGAGAAGAGCTTAGAAGTTCTAAGTAGGGAGTATTCTGCTTTTAAGCTACATCGTTGCTTTAAACCTATCTTACTATGTTCGGCTATAGTTTTACATGCCAATTAGTATTCGCCAGTGAGATTTAATTACAACCAACTTGGTTAGGTATTTCTGCACAGCTTCGGTTAAGTTATAGCTAGAATTAGTTTAGCTTCTTATTTCCTATCTGAAATGGAGGCTTTCCTGTAAGCCTGAGAGGGGCCAACTGTCAAATATTTTTATGAGTGAATAAAATATTTTAACCCATCCTTGGACTTTGTTTTTATAGTTGTCAAGAAGACCAGCGAACAGCCACAAGACTCTTCCCAAGGATACATAATTTAACTAGAAGCACATAGCATTTGTGGAAAACAGAGTGAATGAAAAATAACAGTTAAATGGATCCGCTTGCTTGGAAACATCTTCCTCGAATTCAGAATCCAGCTGATCTATCTTCACAGGGATGCTCTGCTAGATAACTGTTATCAAGTAAATGGTGGAAGGGAGCAAAGTTGTATGCATTTTCATCTAACTGGCTTATCAAAATTTTGATGAATATTCTATAGCCAAGGAAAAGAGAAAAATTCTGATGGCCATTCTATCTGTTCTTTAAGTTACTCAAATATTTGTAGTGACAAATCTGACGAAAAGAAAAATAATAAATGCAGACATTATGGATCAAGTTGATACTATCATTATTTTTCAAGCTATGCCAAAGTGATAGGGTTGACTGCTTGGATAAAAAGATTTATTTTTAATTGTCTAAATGCAAGGTCTTCACAAATTATTGGAGAATTATCCTATGATGAAGTCAAAGCTGCAGAAAAGAAAGTCATACTGTTAATACAAAACAAATATTATCAGCACTGATTTCTGCATTATTAGAAAACCATATAATGAATGCATCCATTTTTGAAACTATCGGAACTGATATAGCT